CTAAACCCTAAACCCTAAACCCTAAACCCTAAACCCTAAACCCTAAACCCTAAACCCTAAACCCTAAACCTAAACCCTAAACCCTAAACCCTAAACCCTAAACCCTAAACCCTAAACCCTAAACCTAAACCCTAAACCCTAAACCCTAAACCCTAAACCCTAAACCCTAAACCCTAAACCCTAAACCCTAAACCCTAAACCCTAAACCCTAAAGGCTAAACCCTAAACCCTAAACCCTAAACCCTAAACCCTAAACCCTAAACCCTAAACCCTAAACCCTAAACCCTAAAACCAGGTCTACGCTTGCCTCTTCCTCTGCTCTCTCGAAGCCGAGTACAAGCATGCCACCAACGACTGGCCCTTCTATCTACGAAGGTACATAGATGACGGAGTGGGCATTTGGACAGGTACACGAGCAGGCCTCGAACGATGGCTCCGAGGATACGGCACGCTGTGTCCTTCGATCAAGATCACCTCGGTGATCTCGCTCGAAGAGTTGGATATCCTCGATATCCACTTCTTCAAAGGCCCTCGCTTTGAAGAGACAGGCTGCCTCGACTCGTCCACGTTCCAGAAGCCGCTCAACGCCTACCAGTACCTCCCCTGGACGTCGGTTCACCCACGGCACCAAAAAGTGGCATTCATCCGCAGCGAGCTCCGGAGATACCTCCTCCGCGAGAGCACGGCCGATGGATTCCACGCCATGCGCACGCGGTTCTACCACCGCCTCCGTGCCCGAGGATACCCGACCTCCTTCCTCCACCACTGCTTCTCCGGCATCTCCTATGACCAGCGACATCAAGCTCTCCTTGCACGTTCGCGCCGCTCTAGCGACGCCTGTCGACGGGCCCCCCTCGCCTTCAAGCTGCCCTACACACTCCACAGTGCGCAGCTAGGCTTGGGGGACATCCTAAACCCTAAACAGGTGATGGATGAAGCTCCCACAGACACACTCCCCCGAGTGATCACGTGCTGGAGACGCTCCCCGAACCTCGGTTCGTTTCTGGTCAGGGCTAAGCTCCCTCCGCGAGCTTAGCCACGTCTTGTACCGCACTTTGCAAGACACGGAAGCTTATGTTTGCATCCTTCTCCGCGTACTCGATGACTCCCAGGGTCTGGCCGATGGACTTCAGGTATGTCCCAAGTCACTCCAGGCCACCCCCCTTTCGAGTCAACGCCCGGTCAACGCGGAGTCAACGGTCAGAACGGAATATTCCCCAATATTCCGACTGTATCCCTGTTGACCGAGTCAAAACGGCATATACCGTTGGATTCTGCTCTTCCTTCCGATCGTGAATATGTGAGTTTCAACTCTGAACTCCACACACGACTCGTGGAAAAGCACGTTTTCCGTTAAAACGGTGCCGTTCCCTCGACATCGGCGACACATGCCGACAGCTCGCAGGATGGCTCTCCCCCATGTAACCGCTGGACTCCGGGTATGTATGAGTGGCCTCAGGCCCCCCACCATCCCAGTCCACACACGGTCAACGCGGGGTCAACGGTCAACGACCGAATATTCCGAGAATATTCCCTGCAAAGTGAACCACGTTTTTCGTCGCCGGGTACGCACAAGTGACACAAGCATTGTGGACGTAACGCATGCATCATATCATGCCCCGTTTACAAGTTATCTTGTGTCAAAGGTACGTCACCCGCCGGACGAACGCTTACTGTCTTCGGCGATCCGCCGAAGTCATTCTCCGCGACTACCACTGCTGTGGAGTCACCGACCCCAGCTGTGCTACGTTCGCATCCTCGCGAGCCAACGCCGTCATGCACTTCGCATGGCCGCCACTCGGACTCGCGCCACGTGACAGAGCCAGAATATAAGTAGAGTCGGCGCCGAGCTAGGGTTAGGGTAGACGTTAGACGACTACACCCGGCTGATGAGTCCCAAAAAGGACGAAACCGGTCTCGGGTTGTCTCTTGTCTTCTCCCTCGCTCGCGAATGAATGAAAATTCATTCTCTTGCCTCCTCTACTTGCTCTCGATCACGCCGTCTCGACAACGGCACACGGAGAATGTGGATTGCACAAAGTGGCGCCGCGATCTCGCCGGATTGCAGCACCACGGGGTGCCTTTGACCCTAAACGCCTAAACGCGCCTAAATCCTAAACTCTCTGCGGTTCAAAAGCATCCAAGCGGGCCTCACCAGCTTTGCTTGGTTGCAAAAGTACATCCCACGCACCAAGTAAGCTTAAGTTCTCACATTGTTTCTCTTGTCTCCAACAGAATCCAGTAAATTCGAACAAGAATTCCTAGAATCGGACCTCTCTGCCAATGGAAGGCCAACACAACTCCATGCATTGGCTCTGGAACAGGAGAAACGAGCCACAATGCCCCTCACTCCCCTCGCATGGGTCTGGCACAGCAAATCTCCAGGCCGGGCATTTGTACTGGCCTCTGCGCGCTGCATCCCACCGCCAGAGTGCCACAAGAATCCCCACCCGGAGCTGCTCACTGCCACTAAGAGTCTGGGAGCTAGCTTGAAATCTCCACTTAGCAGTTCTCCTGGCGTCTAGCGCAGCCCAGCTCCCCTGTTTTGGGTCCGGCACAGCAAATCCCTCACAAGGGCTTTTTACCTCCTTTGGCTTGCTGCTTCGGCACCACCAAAGGACCACTAAAAACGCCATGGGAATGCTGCCTGCCACTCAGAGCACCCAAGCTGCCTAGACATTTGCCACAGAACTGCGAAGAATCCACCCAATCTGAGAGCAAACACACTGCCCGCTCACGTTGCTGCTCTCTCTCCCTTCTCGCCCATCCTCCACCGTCAGATCCCCTTGATCCAACGGCCCACAACGGTCAAGCACTGAGCGCAAAAAATTCTAAGTCCCCGCACTTAGTTTTTGTCTCTTGCTTTTTGTCTCTTGTGGCTACGGAGTGGGGAGCAACGGGAGAAAGCACGTGAGCGCAGCAGCTGTGTTTTTGAGCCTGCCAGACTACGGCTTAAGGTCTGCCCTGCCCTCCCCTCCTCTCTGGAGGAAGGGCTCCTTCGTTCTGTTCCTCCTCGCATGGGGCTAACCCCAAATCGCCACAGCAGCCGCCACAGCAGCTCGGCCCTGCCAGCAGCAGCAGCCGCCGACCCAGCCAACGCCAGCAGCTGCCGCGGCCGCCACAGCACGACCAGCTGCCCGCGGCTGCCACACCCAGCGCTCGGGCGAGCACCCGCCGCCCAACGCGCCGCGGCTTGGCCGGCCCAGCAGCGCCAAGCAGCACCACGGGCTGCTACGCACTGCTGCACGCCGCCAATCGCCGCCCAGGGCCGCCCCACGCGCCCCCACGCGCGCTGGACAAGCACTCGCCGCCACAACCACCGCCTGGGCAAGCATTCGCTGCCCAACGAGTGGCTGCTCGGCTCGGCCTAGCAGCGCCAAGCAACATCACAGGCTGCTGTGCGCTGCTGCACGCCGCCCAGGGCCGCCCCACGCGCGCTGGGCACCATCCCGCGCCGCCCAGTACCGCCTGGTACCGCCCGGCATCGCCCTGCGACGCGCGACGCCGCCCATACCACGCAGTACCGCCCGGCACCGCCCAGCGACGCGCTACACCGCCCGGCATCACCCAGCGACGCGCGGTACCGCCCAGCGACGCGCGGTACCGCCCAGCGACGCGCGGTACCGCCCGGTACCGCCCAGCGACGTGCGGTACCACCCGTACCGCCCGGTACCGCCCCGCGCCGCCCAGCACCGCGCAGCGTCTCTAGCACCGCGGCTGCCCCCAGCACTACGGCTGCCACCAGTGACGCCCAGTGATGCCAGCGACGCCGCCGCCACCTTTACCATCTGCTGCTCTAGTGCCTATTCCAGACAGTCACGACGTCATGGACCCCTCACCGCTCATGCCACCAGGGCCAGCAGCACCAGGGAGCTCCAACCACGCCATGGCTACTGCAGAGACAGGTTACGCTCCAGTTCCTCCAGCTCCAGTGCTCCAATTTGAGCTGGGAACCACGTCACGAGCTACCTCGTCGCGTGAACACTCCCAGCTCCTCGCTGAGGCCATCTACGACGAACGTGCGTCGCACCGACCACTCTCGCCGTACCTCAAGCGAGTTCTGGACACTAGACGTGCGTTGCGGCTCCGCACCACGCATGTCATCACGGCTCACATTGAGACGCGTCTGGAGAACCTAGAGCAAGACGACACTCTTTCGAGTGTTGCCAACTTTTTCTGTAACGAGGCACTACGTTCGGCATTGCAGCGACCTCCCACCTCCTCTGACACGGCCACACCACAGAACTCCTCGGACTCTGTGGCGCGCAGCCCTGACATGAGCAGGCTGCAGCAGAGTATGAGACACGGTCCACACTCTGCTGCACAGGAGCGCTGCATGGCAAACACGGCAGCGTCGCCCGCGGTAAATTGCGACAGCCCGACATCGGAGCAGGAGGTTTCCCAGGCTGAGGGCACTGAGCACGTGGCGCATGTGGAACACGCTACTGAGCACGTGGCGCATGTGGAACACGCTGCTGTCCAGCCAATGCGCCGGTTCCCCATGCCGGATCTGCCACGTGCACTTCGAGCCCCACGCCATCAGAGAGACCTCCGCTCTTTTTACGTGGAAAACTTTCCACATCGCTACGTCAGGTCTCAATTCCAGGATGCGTTTGAGTCCCTCCTACGGGACCGTGGAGCCTACCCGCATGGGGTCCTCCCTGCCAACCCTGGCCCCTTGACTGCAGAGCCGAGTGCTACAGCGATGCGACGGATCTTCCCACCACCCGTGGTGCCGAATCCCGTTTCATC